CTTCCTTCTTTGTCTTGGTGGGGGCAGCAGTCTTCACGTCATCTTCCAATGCTGGCGTAGTCTTGTTGGATGACAACGATATCTTAACTGCACGTTCCCTGTCTTTCAACAGTCTTTCTTGTTTCCCCCTAGCAATGTATCCTTTGATCATGCTGATCAGGAAGTCATAAGTCTTCTCGTGATGCCCTTCATCAAAGGTACGGTATCGGCTGATATCAAAGTGCATGAGCTTTGAGTGTTCAATCTTCCGGAACAATGTGTCACGCAGGGAATTCGTAGAAGGCCGATCATCATGTTTCATATTGTATATGATATCAAGCCACTTATTGTAGAAGGCCTCGAGTTGGTCATCTCCATAATAGCTGAACATGTACAAATGATGAGCCTTGTAGAGAACTTCAGTATGATCAGGTGACTTGAAGCTAATCAAGATCATTGCGAATAGCTCACGTCCCTTAATGAAGTCCCCACTCTTCCCATACATTTGATTCTTCATGGACATGTCATACTTCACTTGCATAGACTTGTCTCCAGCATTGTCGATGACCTTCCTCAAAGCATTGGATAGCTTGGCATCGATGGATTGGAATCTCACCTCAGGTGCTTTGGCTAATGTTTCCAAGTCCGGTTGATCTGTGAGACATGGAGCTAGCCACGCTTTCCAATCATCATAATGTCGATCTCCACTTGCAACACAAACTTCATGAACGACACTTCCCTTCCAAGACGAAAGTTCAGTTGTCTTAGGCCAAGGTTGTAAGTTGATCTTCTCCGCTTCTCTCTGAGAGATAGAGGATTTGGATTTGTCCTTCTCGAGGTTCTCCAATTCAATGACGTTGGTGTTGTATTCGTTCCTGAGCTTCTCAAAGGCTTCGGCTTCGGCACGAAACTCTTGCTCTTCGTCATTAGCACGATCTTCAGCTTGGGAAAAGTTATTCTTGTAGTAGTCTTTACGCTCTTCCATCTTCTTCAGTTCATCACGAAGAGCATTGACTTCTGACTTCTTCTCTTGTTTCATCTCTTCCAGTTCAGCTTTCAGCTTGGCACACTTCTCTTCACATTCATTCCTGGGAAAAGCATTGTTGGATGATCCATACATGATAGCTTGCAGGTTCTGTGTAGAAGAAGAAGCGGCCTGGTTCTCGAGCTTCAGTGCAGCGATGGTGTTCGACATTTCTTCCACCTCTGTTTGACGTTCACTGACAAGATGGTGCATTTCTGTCAGGTGACTCTCAGGAATAGTATAATCTGTTGCTCCCTTGATGACGAGTCGTCTATCATTCAACATACTGATAGCTTTACCGACATCACGATGAGCACGATTGAGGGATTCTTCCTGTGTCGCAACTTCAGTGTTGATTCGTTTGATTGCCTCATCTCTGTCACTGATCTCATTGTGCAAAGCGTCGAATAGGTTACTGGAAGTGTTTGGATTGTTGCTCATGAAGTCAATCCTTCCCAAAGCATCTTGGTACTTCTTTCCCAATGAGTCGTACGAGCTTTGATAGGTCTTGAGCAGCGCCTCATTGTCGATAAGCTCAGCTCTAGTCCTTCGCAGCATAGCGTCAACGTCATCTTTGTATTTGATGGCCTTCTCGTACTCACTATGCAATTGATTGTACATCTCATAGTAAATCCCATGTGATGGTGAAACACTTGGAGATGCATGTCTTGCTTGTTGGCACGAGAGTTCATGATACTGATTCTTCGATTCAGTCAGTTGTTGTTGCATCCGATCCAAAAGGCTTTGTTTCATGTGTAGTTCAGATCGTAGTTCCATGATCCTCATATCACGCATCCCGCTCACCTTAGAGGTCAACTCTTCAGAATACCGACTTTCCGATGTGGCCAGTTGTGACTGTAATCCTTCATTGCGGATGACCTGTAACTGTAGTTGTGATTCCTCCAGAGCTAGATGGTGTTCACATTCAGAATATCTGTTATGTTCGGATCTCAGATCGCTACGAAGTTCTCTCATGATATCTTCCCTCTTCGCATCGGCAGAATCAAGCTCCGTTTCCAGCCGCCTGATGTTCAATGACATAGTGCTCTTCATTGTTTGGTTCTGATTCGCAATCTCGAGCATCTCAATGTGAAGTGCACATGTTTGGTCATTGGCATATCCGACAGCTAGGGCTTCCTGCTTTGCACTCATCTCTGCGTTTTCCAGTTCCCGTCTGAGTTGATTAATATGAGCACTTGCATCTGTACCCACATGTACCATGATTGCATTCGCTTGTCCCATTTGTTCACTGAATTCAGATCTCAATTGTGAGTATCGATGTTCCAGATGGGATGCTGCTTCATTTGACATAGTTCGATACCTCTCCAGCTCTTCAATCCTGTAAGTTGCTCCTTCGTCCTCTTGTTGTGCGGCGAGCAGCTCAGAATTCAGGGCTTGAAGCTGTCGAGCCATCGATGTCATCTCATGATGAGTGGTGTTCTCCAGGTAGTTGAATTGTTGGTCGGCATAAGCGGCCATTTCGGTTAATCTCGCCTGAAGTACAGATTCTTCTTCGGTAGCCCTGTCCAGTGATACTTTGTACTCTGATAGTTCACTCTGATAGGCAGTGAAGACGTCGCTACCACTTGATGGAGCATTCACTTGTTGAAAAGATCCTACTCCTGATGGTGTAGCGTCCTGAATCGGTGAAGGCGGATTCGAAGATGTAGGCTTCGCTTTAGTCCTCGGAGTCGTCGGAGGCGACGATTGTCGTGCGGACGATCTTCTCTTTCCAGGTGTACTGTCCCTGTCTTCGATTGCTTGCATTGTCGGCATTAATCTCCCTCTCGGGGCAGCCAGAGGTCGTCTGGATGTGCTAGGTCTCAGTTCTGAGGTTTCGCTTCCACCAGTATCGAAACTCTGTGAAGAATTTGACTGCGTGCCGGCAGCTGGTGCGGCGGCATGTCCAGCAAATGAGAATGCGTTATCGCTACTGTCCTCTTCAGCCATTGATTGTAAGGTCCGCAGTTACCCGCTCGTAGGCTCCGTTGGAGGCACTACGGCTGATAACCTGTGAATCGGACGTTCCCTAGTATGTGTCCGAATGTTGTTTGTTGAACGATCAGTTTCGCGTTTCACAATGGTCAACCAGAGGCAGGCTTCAGCATGGCTCTCTTTCACTTGGATCCTGCAGTATGGGGTCTTGAGCCAAAAGGACCGTCGATTCTTGAGGTCCCCTGGCATTTGGGTAAACGACTATTTACATGGGGATTATGGGCGTAGCTCTTACTGTGTCCCCATTCGCATAGATAGATAGATAGATAGAGAGATAGAGAGATAGATAGATAGATAGATAGAGAGATAGAGAGATAGATAGAGAGATAGAGAGATAGATAGATAGATAGAGAGATAGAGAGATAGAGAGATAGAGAGAGAGAGATAGATAGATAGATAGACAGACAGACAGATAGATAGATAGATAGAGAGATAGATAGATAGATAGATAGACAGACAGATAGATAGATAGATAGATAGAGAGAGAGAGATAGATAGATAGATAGATAGATAGACAGACAGACAGATAGAGAGAGATAGATAGATAGATAGATAGATAGATAGATAGATAGATAGAGGGACTATCAATTAGGGTTCTCTTGAAAAAATGACTTAGGGGAACATTCAGAACATTCCCCAAAATCCCATGATCTATCATCATGTTTCCCCCATTTCAATGACCGTGTTATGGGTACATCCCATTTCCAAACACACCCCATTAGGGTTGCAACCTTTGGAACCCCCCCAGAAATCTGATCCACGTTGGCGCCTTGAGGTTGAACTCGTGCACGTGTTTTCCGTCGCGCACCTTGGGACAAGCACCAGCCACTGTTCCAGCTGCATCCGAGGGGAGCCCCTGCGAAATCAAGCTGCGCCACTTTTTTCGAAACGCAGCAGCTGGATGTGGCTGTCTTTGTCCACACCGCCCGAGGACTTCAGCTCCTCTTGTTAAGTGGGCACCAACATTTTAACCATTGAAAGTCGAAGAGAATGGTATTTACATGTTTAAATGCGGCTTAAATCTCTGTGTTACCAATATTTTTTTGGTGTTTCAACCATCAATGCCTGAACAACATGCTGCCTCGCAACCAGACCTTTGGCAGTTGCGCTTAATGATTGCAGCACAAGCATTTGGCTTTGTCCGCAAATTGTGAAAAAAAACATAAACCTTTTTTATAAAGACTAATTCTATTGCTCATTTCGCGATTGTATCCCCATTTAGGATTGGAAAATCCCCATGAAATCCTCAGGTATGGTGTGGGTATCCCTTGTTTCTGAAGCCCTCGAGCCGTCTCGGGATGTCGGAGCTTCGCGCTTCGCCGTGTTTCAAAAGTCGGCAAAGGTGGGCCCCATGGTCTCGTACCAATGGGTACTTGGCTCACACCAAAAAGCCCAGATGTTGGCCCAACAGACAATCCCCAAGTACCATTTTTATGGGATTTCAAGCATCCCCAAATGATAGGTCTATTATATTGGCTTTGCCACATTCATGTATTTCTATATAGCATTTGTGTGTTGTTGTGCGCGAATGTCGCCTTTGGGCGACAAGTGGGCAATGCCAGCTTTGAGCATCTATTGGGACCTAGCTGCGGAAGCGATTTGGATTGGTGTAGGGAAACAGTTTCACCGGAAACCACGTTTTTTTAAAACCCCCAAATCCCCAAGGGTTTCCTGTAAATTGTCCCATCATTAATAAAATCTGGGATTGAGTCAATTTGGCTTTCGATTTCGGAAGGGCAACTCAGATAGCTTTGCAGTATCAAAAATGTCCCTGCAAAAATTGTGGTTCCTTTCACCTTAAGTTTGATCCAACCCCAAGCCAACTGATTGGTTGAGAATGACGGGATTCCCATGTTTGCTCTTCCAAAAACCATATGGGTATGGGTTCAAAATTGGGTACCCCGGTACCCCTATGATCAGATGGTAAATATGAAACATATACTAAAACCTGTGGTTCCATAAGGCTCAAATTTCGACCCATCCCCATATTTCATAGATAAATCCCCATTAACCCTGAAACCTGAACCTTCTCCGTTGGCAGTCTGACAAGTCCTAACACCGCTGGCGCATCACTTCTCTTTGGAGCCGTTGGATCCATTCGCATGGTACTTCCTGAGGTCAAAGAAACTGCGCAAAAAAAAAGGCAGAGCTTTGCTACCCTTGGGCCCTTGGCTTGAAAAAACTGTAAAGATTCATCCCTTCCCAACAGACATCTTCTGAAATTAAAAAACAACGAAACCCGAATGGAATGTCTTGGATCTGTTGATTTTGAGTCCCAAAAAAATTGGGAAATGATGGGATTAAGCTCAAATCTATCAAACTACGGTCTCAAGTTGTGGAACCCCAAACTCCGATGGTTCAATTTCTCCAATTTTGAATAGGCATAAATTGGGTGGCCATTCCGACATCTGAAGGACTAAGCCATTACTTTGTTGGTGTATGTTTGTTAATTTTTCTGTATACGAAATGCATTAAAATCCCCATTTCAGCTGGTTTCCTCCCATGTTTCCGCTGCGGATGGAAGAAATCCTGCACCAGTTGATAGGTGGTAGTCATCCCATTCTTCAAAAGAGTTGGTCAACATGTTTCAACCATCCTTTTGGTGGTTTTTGACATTTATCGCAACCATCCACTGGTGCACGTCAAAGATTCTGCGTGATGCAGAAGGTATAGATCTCCAGTTTCTTCTTGAGCTGCTCCTGCACGCATGCCAGCCACCACAGCAGCCAAGCACCAAAGGCCTAGTCGTGACAAGGTGAGCCATCTGGAACCCATGGAGGCTCCGAGCCTTAACCAAAGTAGAAATCGTTGAACGGGTTCAAGCCATTGAATTTCCCTAGGATGCTGAAAAACACAAAAAAAAACTACGGGCCGATTGAAAAAAATTAAAAATAAAAATAAACTTCGGTGGTATCCCCAACAGCCGCAGCGTTTTATTTTCACATGTATGCAGCGTGCACACGCATGAAAACACAAAGAAAAAACAAACTTCTCCGGAACCTTCTCTGCAACCTTCACCGGAACCTTCTGATCTCCGAAACCCGTTGAACCTGACCTGGCCCCGCACCAACGATTCCCAAAACCTTCTCCGCAAATTTCTCCAGACCTTCTCCGGAACCTTCCCCGGAACCCTGTTGAACCTGACCCGGCTCTGCACCAAAACCTCCCAGACCTTCTCCGGAATGTTCTCCGGAACCCTGTTGAACCTGACCTGGCTCTGCACCAAAGCCTCCCAGACCTTCTCCGGAACCTTCTCCGGAACCTTCTCCGGAACCCTGTTGAACTTAACCCGGCTCTGCACCAAAGCCTCCCAGACCTTCTCCGGAACCTTCTCCGGAACCCTGTTGAACCTGACTTGGCTTTGCACCAAGGCTTCCTGGAACCTTCTCCGGAACCTTCTCCGGAACCTTCTCCGGAACCTTCTCCGGAACCCTGTTGAACTTAACCCGGCTCTGCACCAAAGCCTCCCAGACCTTCTCCGGAACCTTCTCCGGAACCCTGTTGAACCTGACTTGGCTTTGCACCAAGGCTTCCTGGAACCTTCTCCGGAACCTTCTCCGGAACCCTGTTGAACTTGACCTGGCTCTGCACCGAAGCCTCCCAGACCTTCTCCGGAACGTTCTCCGGAACCCTGTTGAACCTGACCTGGCTCTGCACCAAAGCCTCCCAGACCTTCTCCGGAACCTTCGGAACCTTCTCCGGAACCTCGTTGAACCTGACCCGGCGCCTGCACCAGTGCACACCGGAGCTATTCTGGGCTGAAGACTCCATTAGCTTACGCTGTTGGGGAATAAGTTACTCGGGAATTCATGCATTAATAGGGATTTGCTCATGCATGTACTCATCAAATGTACTCATACTCCCATATCTTCCCCAGTCACTGTGTCAGTTGTCTCACCAATACTCATTGTACTCATATGTACTCATATGTCATGCATAAACAGGAGTACAATACATCCCCTACCTTCATAACCTATCAACAAACGGGTAAGAAGAGGTGGGGAGCAATCAAACCCAAAATTTATCTCCATTCCAACCTCATTGGTACCATTCAATTTGTTGCTGATATCATATCACTATGGGTCTTGTTCCCCCAGACTTGATGGTTATAACCTCAGATGGAATTACAATCCATTGGACGATTGGTGTTGTGTCCCCAAATTTCCATGGTTATAACTTCATAAGTTATGAGTTATAAGTTATAACCTGAATATATATATATAATATAATATATATATGTAACCTCTGGGCCATCCATGCAACGCCCAAGTCGCCAGAAGTGTCAGCAACAGCGCAGCTTTCGCCAGCTCAGGAGCGATCCATCCCAGTCCCAGCAGCATGGCCTCGACACGGGAGGCCCTGGGGGCAAGGTGCCATGGGTCCCACGGGCGGCCCAGGAATCTGGGAGTGGCCAGGAATCTCTCGGCTTTTCGCCATCTCTTGGTGGTTGATCTCAACCAATCAGTTTGGAGAAGTCCGAGCTAAAGATGACCGTCCTACATCACCACCAAGTCACATAGGGCACCAGCCACTTCTGCACTACAGGGAATGGCATCCTGGCATTCCCCAGGTGGCTGTTTGCTGCGGGAGAATGGATTGATGACCATCCCCAAACATGGGTACCCTCTGGTAATTTGTTACATAGCTATTGAAAATGGCCATTTATAGTTGTTTTTCCCATTAAAAATGGTGATTTTCAATAGCAAACTGTTAGTTTACCAGAGGGTAAATGATCCAAGGTTTGTCCGCAACTGTGGTGTGCCATTTTTCATATTTTTCTTGTCTTGATTCATCAATTATGAAGAAACCGGGCGAAAAAAAGCCTTTGGACCTGCCTGCATGATCCACAAACAATATTAGTGAGATTGCAAAAACAGGTTACATAATTTTTGAAAGGCGTTATATCCAATACATATTCCATCTGAGTCATGAGAAAATGCCCCTATCCCATCCCATTTTACATATCTTACTAGTTGGTAGGTATCCCAGTATCCCTATTGTTTACTGGCTAATGTATGTTCCATCTTTAACTTCAAGGACTCTCCCTGGGAAGCGCAGCAAAAAACACCCCATACCTTGCCATGGAGAAGAGGATCATCTGCCTCGCTGGGCAGTTCAACAAAAGCTGGGTGGGTGTTAAGTCAATACCAAAATGAAGATTCAATTGATTAAACATGACGAAAGCATTCAAGAATGTTGATTTGACATGATTTAACTGTGTATATCTTCTGGTGGTAAACCAACCATGCGCGGTGGCAAGTCCGCACTTTCGTTACAAAACGATGAGTCTTTCCATTGCAGGATTACCAAAAGGCGTTCCCCAAGCGTGGGGTTTCCCAGACCACTCCTAGGGGCAAGGCCCTGGAAACATGACCAGTGGAAAGACACTTTTTAAGTCGATCTTGTTAATTCTTGGAAAATGGATAGTTCACTATCCATTTTCTGAGTTAACTATCCATTTTCTGAGTCGATCATGACCTGGGATCACAATTATCAACTCAGAAAATGGATAGTTAACTCTCCCAAGAATGCCCGCCAGGCTGCGCCGAGAAGTAAAACAATAGCCTTGGATGCAGCAGGGATCAAATCTCGATGGGTTCAATGGGGGATATCCAAAAAATGGATTAGTTGGGGGGTACCCCCCCCATTTTAGGACACCTCCAAATGGTCATTTTTCGGGAATCCATCGTTTACACCATGAAATTTTTTGGGCTTCCTGCAAGTTTCATCCAATGGAGGAACCACGTATCCTACTATCGAACATGGTGATGTCAATTGTCCCAGGTCTGAGGGGTCAACGGACCACTCCAAAAGTAGTCATCGACTCGTTCTCCACATCGAGTTCCATCGCCATGTTCGCTTCGAAATGATCCACAAGAGAATGCGAGAATAAAAGAAAGCCCAATCATCCTCCCCACTCACCCCTGAGTATTCTCAAAAAAATTGCATTTATATATATATATAAATCCCTAATGGTTTACCCCATAGAATTTAGGATGATACTCCCATCAACCCCTCCCAGCCCCTGGTTCCGTTCCCTGGGTCCGAGCCGCAGCATGGTCAGCAGGCTGATTTCGCGGGAGGCCAGGCGAAGCATCTGGGGACTCCAAGAGCCCAGTAGCAGATTCTGCAGCAGAACCGGCAGCAGGTCCTGGCAGCTTCGAAACGTGCCAGGTCCACGCCGGTGTTTCACGGCTGGGATTCTTGGCTTAAAATGAGAAGATCGTGATTCTATCATGGATATATATGGATATCATGGTCCATTTATGTCCATTTCATGATATTTAGGTCCATTTTGGGCCATTGAAGTTCTGACTCTGGGCCTTTTCTTGATATACAGCGATAGATTTTCAACATCTGGCTGGAGTCCTCAGGGCTCGGTCTCGAGACTGGCTAGTTGGAAATCCCAATACAATACAAAGAATGGGAAGATGAATGGGATACTCATCAATTTAATATAAATGACTGATTTTCTGGCTAACCAGGTTCAATTACTGGAGGCTCAACTTCAGCGCCAAATGCCCAAGATCCAACCCTTCGGTCATGACACTGGCAGTCCTTCAAAACACTGAGGACTTCGCTCATGCCCTTTTTCTTGAAAGCATGGGCCTAGATTGAAACCACAGCACGAGCAGTCTCTCCAGAGCTTAGGAGGATCGTTCAGTGGTCGCTTACATATCCATATTGTCTATATCCATTTGTCAATGCCCCTAAGGAATTGTCACACACCAACGAAATGGCCTGAAATAGCTCGTTATAAACAGTTATATGATACAAGGAGACCCCCCCAGTTATAAGTTAGTTTATGAATCCATCAATCACTGGCCCTCTGTCGCCATGGCACCAAGTTCTTCAGGACGCAAAGTGACATGAAGAAACCGATGAAGACGAGCCAGCACTGCAGGCAGTTGGCATCATTTCATGGGCATTTTATGGGAATAGTAGTGGGAAATCATGATTTCATGGGGATTTAACATGCGGGAATGTATATTATGTACAACACTGTAGGGATTCAACAGGGGATGTATAATCCCTTCTCCCGAATTTTCGGGATCATAGTGGGATAGTAGTGGGTGTTTATGGGGATATAACTAACCAACTCGTCACAAAATATTGGGAAAATGGCGATTTCTACTGCCGGGGATCGTCACCAGAGTACCTTAATTTGTTCACGGGCACCCACTTCTCCCTCCCACAAAGAAGTGGAAATGAAGCCGGATCCTGCTGGTTTCGAAACCAGTATGATATACAGAAAAGCTGGGAAGCCTGAAAAACGTGGAAGAAACATCATCACGAAATATCTGTTTCAAATCCTGACAAAACTTTCGCTTTTAGTTTGTTTAAGGAACCCCTAGTCATGATATCATGATATCATAATATAATATTAATAAATATAATATGTAAATATATATATATATACATATATATATATACATATCATATATACATATATACATATATATATAGACATATACATACATATATATATACATCATATATATATATATATACATCATATATATATATACATATATACATCATATATATATATCATATATATACATCATATATATATATGTATATATATACATCATATATATATATGTACATCATATATATATATATATACATATATACATCATATATATATACATCATATATATATACATAATACATCATATATATACAATTATAGACATATCATAGGACCACCACTTCCACTTCCACTTCCAACCCATTGCCTTCATAAAGTGAGTCCTCAGATCCGCCAAGCCCAGCAGGGGTAGCTGAAGCGGCATCGAAAGAATGGAGGAGACCACCTGGCAGATCCGCCCCAGCGAAGTCACTTCAGAACTTGGTGGAATTTATATGGATTTATAGGACATATGATATATACATATACTTCATGGGGGTTCCAACTTGTAAGTGGGGGGGGCCATTTTGTATCTGTTTCCCTCTGTGGGATTTTCATGAACACCGTGGCGTGATCTCAAACAAAAAACGGAAAAACGGATGGGTCCATTCCACGAAGAAAATTCGTGGATAAAGGATGGACAGACCTGTCTGGATGTTCAAGCCAAGCAATTGAGTGCACGTCTTCAGCAAGTGGAGAGGCACTTCAACTTGAAGCGAGTCTTGATTTCAAGAAAAATGGTAGTCATGTAGTTCATGCAGTTGTTTTTTTCCAGCTCTAGTAACTTAAACATGGCCATGTAAAAGTGCCCATATTTTCCATGTCGATTTCAGGAATCCTGTTGTTTGTGCCAAAAAAAACGGATGGTGTCACTGACACTGACAAAATGGGTCTGTCTGACAGGGTGCCCACATGTATAATGGCCATATGTGGAGAGTATACAACTCATTTTTTGGGCAAACCCAAATGACTATATTGTTGGATAAGATATACGAGGCACCCATAAAATGCCAAGAAATCACCATAAAACGCTCAGAAATGACCATAAAATGCCAAGAAATCACCATAAAACGCTCAGAAATGACCATAAAATGCCAAGAAATAACCATAAAACGCTCCGAAATGACCATAAAATGCCAAGAAATCACCATAAAACGCTCCGAAATGACCATAAAATGCTAAGAAATCACGATAAAATGATCAGAAATTCTCAAAGACTCTGGCTCCCAACTCCAAAACTCTGACCACCAGGAACTGCACCTGGGGTCCCAGGATTGCAGCCCCCAAGGTCTGGGACATCAGGAAATATTGGGTCTCCGTCACACCAACCTGGGCTGACCCTTGAAGGAACATGCAAATCTCCACTGCCCCTTCGTTTTTGAGTCACCTTGCTACTTGGAGGATCATCCCAGTAGCTGGTTGATAACCGTTAGAAAGTCCCCATTTTATGGCATGACCCCATTGTTTTGGGTGGGTTATAACTAGGATTACTGACTTGTTGGGATGATCCTCCAAGTAAGTCCCCCATTTCATCAGGGTTATCATACGATGATCCCCCTGCCGAACTACGCCCGGTGCCATCCGAAACACAGCTCCATAGGCGGTGGGGAGAGTGCCAGTGTGGTACTCCTCCCATTGCGCCAAGAAAAAACCAGACCTCGAGGTGATGAAAACTGATCATGGCGGAATTTATGATGAGGATGCGGGATACAATAGGGATATGATTTGATATAATATAATATCATCTATTATATGGTTGGGAAGCTCTGATTGTAGCTCCAACTGGCTCCAATTTTTCTTGGGAAATCTCGATACCCCTAGCTGAGAACCGCTCCCTCCGTCCACCACTGGGTAATTTGGTGATTGGTCAGGAACATAAAATAAATGAATAAGTACAATGATGATAAAAAAGTGCAAATGAAGCTTGAATGCAAAGTAATAATGTGTCTAAGTGAGTTGGCCCTTGTCCACAAATCCGTCCGACAAAAATCATGTCAATCTTTGGAAGGATCTGCTCACGCTTTGAGATACGGATCCAAATTTTCATTATGCTCAATGTTAATCCCTTTTGTCTTCAAAAAATGAGTCGACCATCCAAAATTGCTGATTTCATCCCTGAAAAACCCTTAAAATATATGCGTCAAATATCTAAATCTGCAAAAAAAACATCCCCAAAAAAATCAACCAACTTCCTTGGTGGCTTAGTTGCAACCCCTTCCCTTTCCGCCCAGCCGCGACAGGATGGACATGGCGAAAAGTCCCAGGAAGGTGGGGCCGAAGTGCAGCAACGCCGCAGCGGCGCCGGTCTACCGGTGCCAGGGATGGGGATTCCATGGGGAATTCCATGGGGATGTCCCATTGATGTTTAAAAAAAGGATGAAGTTAGCCTCTGGTTATGTCAAAATAGCTATTGAAAATGGCCATAGAAATAGTGGATTTTCCCATTAATAGCATGGTGATTTTCCATAGTTATGTTAAATTACCAGAGGGTACCATGAAAAGATGAAGCCATCAATTTGTTTATTCTGACCTTTTTGTGATTTTGAACTGACCTATTGTTATGGAAGGTCTTGATCCTACAAGCATCCTTGGAATTCTGCGTTGCTTCAGTTGCCCAAAGATCAGCAAAGCGCTTGGAAATCACATAGATCAATGGATTGGCTTAAGGGAAAATCTGGAAACCATAGATTTTCCCTATGAAATATAAGTGTTTCCTGTAATTTGTCCCTTAAACCAATCCATTGAATAGAGGAGGCAAAGAAAAAGAAAAATATGAAACCAAGTGGCTGTGTCTGAAAGTGGGGCATATGAGCAGTTGTGGCCATGTTCATTGGGGGAATGATGATGAACCACTGCTCAGAAGCTAAACTAATCCATGCAGCCACCAAGGTCAATGTCGCCAACTTAAAGAACGATCTAATTTGGCGAATTTGACCTCATCAGGCTATTTCTAATCCCTTTCTGCATGTCTGCATCATTTCCACAAAATTGTCAGTACCATCCCCATCATTCGTGGTTTTTTCTAGCTAGGTTTGGTTTAGGATGTCGCAAATCTTGAAACCCCATCCAGTCCAGTGGTCCAGAAAATTTGTTTTCCACATTGTTCAATGGCCACAAACAAACCCTAGATTGGCCAACATCGTTTCTATTTTTAACAGGCTATGTCCCATCAAGTATGAAATAAGTCACTACTGCCAGGTCCAGTACATTTTAAATACATATAATGTACGTATACTATCCTAACATATGTTCCATTCAATGAAATATGTCAACATGTCAAACATCCCATTAAATGGTCATGGTTATACATGAGTTATAATCCCAATTATTCCATACAATTCCCATCACAGCACCATTGTTGTTGCTGAAAATCCCATTTGGATGCTTCAATTTCCATAAATACACCGTATATGGTGAGGTGGTTTAAAGATATATATATATCCTATGAAGTATCCCACCTAGACCCCGCCACCATTTTCCACTGGAGGGAACTCCAGCATTTCAATATATATATATATAATCATATTGTTAATGAAAATGTCATATGTCCAATATCAATCCAAGAGTCCAATAATTATGTCCAAATACACTCTTCTTTCCAAATCATATTCTGTTCGATATCGTGAAATATCATAGTTATATACTATCCATGAATGCTATATCCAAATATGATATAGTAATTGGATAGTAATCCCATGAAAATTCCAATAGTATCTGTTTTTACCCGCGGCACGTAACGTCTCTAGGTCAGCTGACCTAGAGTTATCTTGTTCTCAGACCTTCAACTACAACGAAGCCACAAAAGTACTGTCCCTCGGTCACCAAAAAAAACGAGGGTTACGTCAATCATCCCGACAGACGCGAAAACATAGCACGTTTGTGCGGGTACCGTATTTTTACATCCTCTATCAATTTACTTATTCAATCAAAAAAACATAGGATTATCCAAAAAAACAAAAAAAACATAGGATTATCCAAAAAAACTAAAAACAAATGGTTCATCATGAAAATAGGATTTCCATGAATTTCCAATCCTTGAATTAGGATCATCCCACCTGCGCAATGCACGCTAGACAGTCGCAGCCATGGTCAAAGAGTTGCCCCAATGGCGACGAGCTCCCAGTGCGCCTTGCCTGAGAACCCATCAACAGGATTTGACCAATGAATATAGTTGGTTAATGTTGGTTAGAGGCTTATTTCATGGGATTTTCGATAGTTCAACCATGTTCAACCCTCTAATTTTTTTGAGACTTCATGCTTCAAGAGTCTTAAACATGTCTAAATTCTCCAGAAATTGTGCTCAATTTTGACCTGTAACCATCTAGAGATGAACAATCTTGCAATTGTTTGCCATAAATCCATAGATATCCATAGATTGAAGGTGAATTTAAAGGTGAAACCATGTTGTTTTACTCCCAAATTGTCGGGGATAAACCCTGGAAGCCGGCCTTTTCATGATGAGATCCGAATCTGCAGAGAATCTGTGGTTCATCCAAAATCAGATTGGAGTCCAAAGCCGAAAGCTGCGTTCCCAACATCCAGTTTTGGGCATTTTTTAACCGGGCTTGGCACCTGCTTGCCGTCCATGGCATCGAAGGTCTGATAGAAAAATAAGGCAGCAGTCATGCACAGCATCAGCCAGCGCGGCCTGCGTTGGAGCGGAATGGGGGAATGGGGCACCAAATGATGGCAGTCTTAGGAAGGAAAACAATGATGAAAGGGGCACAACATGTTCGGACAAATCCACTTTGAGCCTCTGAGCCATGCCCGCAACTTCCTACTGGAGGATCGGGAATTTGAGTGCACAAAATGTATGTGTCTGAAACAATTATTTATACCATTCATAGTTGGGTGTGTTGGATCCTAATCACCAGTGCTGGGGCAACATCTGACCCTGCCAAGGCGCGGAGGTGTCTCGAAACTGGGAGAGACCCAGCAAGACAGGCCATAGGTGATCACCAAAGGAAGAAAGCCCACCAAAGTCACCTCTGGTGAACCCAAGGCTAAAACAAAGGAGCTTGAGATTCAACCAAGACTTGGCAGCCTGGTACATTTTTCGAGATTGACCACACATGATGCAAGCAAAAAACCAACAGGTTCTGAGGAGTTCGGAGTTGAAGCATTTCAGGCTCTCTCTCTCTCTCTCTCTCTCTCTCTCAGTGGATACTGGAGGGTCGGCAAGTTGGGGATGAAAGCATTTTAATGTTCGCCTTACGCGTGTATGATGTGAAACATGCTCTAAATCAATATCTCAATATCCCCATTTCTATATGTCTACATATGGGTTATATAAAGCGTGAGCTTCGCCAGGATGCTAAATTGGGTGCCACCCACCGAGGCAAGGCCTGGACCAAGGCGACCAAGGCCGTTGAAGATGTGGGTCCAAGGCTATAAATGAAGAAAAATCCATTTATAGATAGGTAATGGATATTAATGGATAATACTGGTTAATGGATATTGATGGTTAAAACCTCCATGTTTGATTGGATTTTCCCCTTCAAACCTCCATTTATTGATGATTTTTCCATCAAAACCTCCATTGAGTTCGGGGTCCAGCCACGTTTGACTATCAAAGGGTTTAATGCTAGTAAAGCATTAAGGGATCCACGACCATCCCTAATTTTCCCCACCTTTGTGGGTGGTATAAACTGATATAAACTGTATAAACCATCAAAAATCTGAGTGGTTTATCATTGATTTACTAACAGCACCTGCTGAACTCAAGAGACCCGCCTCGGCGAGGCTCAACCAGTAAGGGTTCAAGAAATTGTCCAGCGGTGTGTACTTTCCGGCTTTATACCTGGGTTCAAGGGGCCAGTCACAATGGGTGAAAAAGGGTGTAACTCAAAAGGCTTTGGGATTTAAAAATATATATCAGTTTGGGTTTTATAAAAAAAGCTTTGGGGAATCCAAAAAAACACCCAGCCCTTTTCTGGGCACATGGCTGCGATCCAAGCAACTGGTGCTTCTTGATGTGATCCAGTCCAGACTCTGTCAGCACTATCATGGAAAACATGGTCCAAGCGGCACTGGGCGAAGCCAGCGCAAGCCAGGTGGTGAGAGCAGAAGGTCATCGATGGTGTAAACTTTCACAGACTTGCGCTGTTTTATGTCGGTAAATAAAAATCCACACCATGTGCCATGTGCTCTGCAAAAGGAAGAAACTTGTGGAAATCTGTCAAGATTGCAAGCTGGTGAGCAAAACCAGACAGCAGCTTCAGCAGCTTGGCAGTTGCTGCTTTGATCCGAGTTGATGGACTTGCCGAATTGATCCATCCTCTGTCACAAGGTGGGTGTGCCCAAAAATGCTGGGAAAACTTCCAAATCCCAGTTGAAACATCTACAGAAGGTCATTTTCCCCTGTTTTTTAGCCAATTGTGAGCTTGCAGCCTGCACCAACCAAGGGCTGGGCCGTAGATTTGCCAAGGGCCACGTGAACGTTGCCTCCCACCTGAGCAGGGATGCCATCCCCAAGTCACCACCATTCTTAGTGGGTGATATATGATATGAATAACCATACCCAGTCATGGTAGGTTTATGGCATTGGCTTGCTCAAATTAGATAAGTTTCTTTTGGCTAGCTATATCTCGTTATGTATTCAGAATATCACCTCCTTCACTTGGATTTATATTGTAGTTATAGCTGTGAATGTAAGAGCTCGAAATCAGAGATTCTGCCCATCTGTGGACTCATCCCCAACTGAACCACACCCAACGATTTCCATCTTGCTAAAAGGATCTAAAAGGAACCAAATCTATCAATTGCTACCCTTTAAGGTTATTTCACAGTCTACTGGAAGCCATGGCCAGTGCGATGATCATGCTGATTTACCGATTTTGGTGTTAAAAAAACACTTCGAACACCCCTAGCCTCGCTACGTTATGACTGTAACCCTTTAGGGTCACCCAACCCGGTAACCCATCAGCGCAGCAGCGGGAATTCCGACGCCGCCTTGGACACCGAGACATCTCCATGGACGCGACAGCCCACGCTGTTTCGGCATTGCATCGCCTCCAGACGGCCATGTGATCGATCCTTCGTCAAATTTTTATGGCGGTATTTCACCATTCGGAGAAGTTTGGAGATATCATGGAATATCATGGAATATCATGGAATATATAGGAATATATCATTCGGATAGATCATCTTGATATATCATCAATATATCTTGATATGATTTCTCTGTCTGGAAATGCGGAAGACAAAGCACCAAAGTCAAGCTATGTTCAGGGGCATATGATAAACCACTTCAGTTTTGGGGTACCATAGTTTCAGACAATCCAAAATGATTTGAAATGGGACGCATTGGGACGCATTTTACCCGAAGAGATGCACCACCTGAGGTCCCAAACCGAGTCCAAGATGTGAAAGTAGGGGAGGCCAAAGTCTTGATAGGTCTCCTGTCAGGCGACAGTCGATGCTGCCTGCCGTCACAGTGTTTATAAATACCTCCACTTACATGTCGCTAATGGGTCATCTGGTACTCTGTAAGAAATTTGGGATTATTTGGGCATCCACAAAGTCCCTAAAAATCGTGTCTTTCCATAGCAAAAATACCAAAACCTCCTCAAAGTTGGTGACAACCCTCAAAAAAAAAAAACAAGCTGCCCTTTGGCAGAACGACTAGCACCTTCAAGTCCTGGCACGTGTTGCAACACCTCGATCTACTGGACTACTGAAGTACGATGATGACCATGTCTCCAGGCGATTGCAATTGCTGCAAATGAACATCTTGCAGGCAAGCAGCGGACATCTCATGTTGTTTATAAACAAACCGATGGGGAAGCATCCCTAGTTTCAACAAAGAAAACAGCTCCCCTCCCCAGAAATCCACCCAAAAAAAAACCGCAGAATGGTATCCGAGCGGCAACTTCTCAGCCTTCTGGGCCAGATCTTGTGCTTCCAGACACGAAAAGCACCTGGAAGCCGGCTTGGCAGCAGCTCTGTGGCCGCTTTGAGCAGAGAAACTGGAGAACTCAACTTGACAGGTTGGTTCCAAGGGTGCCCCATTTTCGGGCCAACACAGATGATTGATGATGATTCAAGGTTTGCTGTTCCGAATTTTATCAACTTAGACTTAGGCCCTTAGGCACTGACTCTAGTCTTTGACGCCAGTCTTCAACCATGATCAAGTGTGAACACAGCGATGGCAAAGTTCAATAAAGAAAATCATAATACCACACTGATACACCAAGTCATGTCATGATACCAAACTTTGACACCAAGTCATATCATGGCATGACTTGGATGATGTCATCTCTCAGCAGCAGCCAATCGCCCAAGGGACTCCCCAGGCTTTGCCACTGGATCCCCTTTGGATGGAGCTCCAGCCAGATCCAGGTTCACTTTGGTCAAGGTGCCCGCAATGTCCACCTCACAGGGTTTGGGATTCCTCACTTCACGGGGAAACGAATGCTGGGAGCCGCGGGGACTGCCCGATGTTTCAGGAGTGACCCAAAATGGTAGCAGCACCCCAAACAAACACGTTTAGACCACCTGAAGCAGAGAAATTGGAAAGAAATGAACAGCCACTGGCGCCTGATTCTCACCTTTGGAGTCAACTGTATCCACCGACACCTGCGCAGAGAAGCTCGGAATGATTTATGTGTCCAAAGGAATCACCTCTTCTACAGGGGATTGCTTATTTTGCTCCCAAAAAAAGTGCAGCCCAAAACTCAGAGAACATCTCAAATAAACATATTCTTGTCAGGAGTGCCACGTTGTGCCGTCTGGTTTTTAAATTTTAGGTGACATGAGGCTGGCAGTCAAAGTCTTCATCTCGATTTGTTTTGGTGGTCGCACACTCGATTGAAAGCACAAACCCCTTGAATTCAGGGTTCTCCACATTCACCCATCTCTGGGGCTAATTTCATCAGTAGCCGACAAAGCACGTCATTGCACCACATTGCAATTGCAGTATCCAAAATTGTACTTCTTTTGCTGTTGAAGTAGCATCCCTCTGTTTCCAATCAAACATTTACCCCCAGCAACGACCAACAAACAGCTCCCATCCACCTCATCACATCTGATGTGAGGAAAGGTGATATTGAGTCCAATCCTTTGGAAATGTCCGAGCTGCCAGCCAGGGGAAATGCTGACGTGGACCAACTCTTGGGAACTTTGAGGGGATCGCCTAGTGCTGACAAACACCCAAACAGTCATCTTAAATCCTCTGATTTTTTAATCATTGCTGTATTTCAATTGAAGCCATTGTTCTTGGAAACGCAATATGTCGGAACCAACTGGCAACCCAGTGTCGGAAGCTTCTGATTCAGAGTGGTGTCGACCACGATGTGGTCCTGACCCAGAAAGGCTGAACGCAGCCGGAACAAAGCCAAATGATGTTGCCAGATGGGTGCCAATAACACAAAGATCAAGGGTGCATTGGTCAGAGTCAGGATTTCCACACTCATGAGTATAAAACAGCTCCATTGGGCTGAGTTGCCAGATCCTGCATTTTTGATGTTTCCACGTCTTTCTCAGTTGCCATTGAGCCCAGATCCAGACCCAACCCCTCACTGTCCAGAATCTCGGCTCTCAAATAACTTTGCAATTCCGATAGGAAAAGCAAAGCCTTAGAGTCAGAGTCTATTGTATGGATGGAAAACTGTAGGAAAACATCGCTAAGGCGCAATTGATATGTGAAAGCATGCCAAACATGTTGAATTGTCCAACAAAAACATCTCCAAGTATCTATGCTCAAACGCACCCCAATCAGACTCTCAGCACCAAGAGTTGCTCCATCCCAGGGTTGTTACTGGGTTGTTGCTGGATCGCCAAGGTACCATTATGAGCATCGACACCAAAGAGATGATGCCGCCACTCTGCGTTTTGATCCTATAGTCGTCATGAACCTGGCAACACGGGGAACGGGAGGCTGCGGAAACCAACGGCCGGCAAGCAGAGTGAATCCAGGAGCCCAAGGTTGTTTTGGTTCCAACCTCTGCAAATATTTGGCAAATTTCCATGCCACAACAAAACAGTGAATTTCGGTGTGTTCCTTTCAGAGATTATCAACGTCTCATGCACACAACATTCCTGCCACTTCATCCCCAATTCGCCCAACCATTAGAAACACTTGGCATGTTCACTCCTCCGCCCCAACAGCCCACCTTTCCATACAAATCAAAATGTTTCAGCTTCGATGTTCCAGACGCAGGAGACCGGTGCATCACGAAACGAAGGAAAATGCTGGAAGCACATGCAATACGACCTCCTTGGACTTGCTGTTTTCGACCTCTACCTTTGCGATCTTGCAATCTGTTTGCTCCTCTGGATCACATTGTGTTGTTTTTCTTAAACACCAAAAGAGCAAAGGGTCTTCCACTTGTAAGAAAATCTGTGCAGAAAAGGGAAAACACAATTGCCATGTAGTTATGTCGGGCCCATGTTGTACCCCCGCTGTGCCTATGCTGTGCATATCTGTGCGTGCCGTGGACTTTTGCTCCCATTTCAGCTCAAAATTTCTACATGTTTTGACACATTGTTTCAACGGCAAATAAACTTTGTGTGTGTAACATGGCATCATATAGCTCATGTTGCTGGAATATTATGTTTTCCAAGCAAAAATTTGAAACAATCACAGCTAGTGATTGACAAAGAAGGCGCCCAACAAGCGTTAAAATGAAACATGAACATACCTAAATCACTGACAGAGGGGACACGCCTTTTTTTCAGTGCTGGTCAAAGGTAGACAGTCCGGAGATGTGTCTCGGTGGCCTTGGCAAAACCCAACAGTTGCAGCCACCACAGCCAACTACTTACTATGTCACTCAGTTGGGCCCAATTGGAAGCTAACAGACACAAGAGGCTTACAACCAATGTGTTTTGATACGTTGTGTGCTTGACTGCAATAGGTTTCTTCTGGCCAATCGAAAAACCCATGGAAAGACCACCAGAATTCCTCTGGAAGATTGAGATCAGCACGTGTATCAACAGCAACCGAAGTACCAGGAGGCGGTCTCAGGACAGGAAGAATGCGGAAGAATTGACCGGTTTTTGATTTCGAAACAACAAGAACATTGAGGAGCGAACCGTTCGGATCCACGGCCAAAA